GCTCCAGCCCTTCCCCCCACCCCACCCCACCCCAGAGTGACCCAGAACTGGCCAGAGATCTCATGTCAGATCTGATCTCCAAGATGCTCAGATTCCAGGGTCAAGACCTGGGGGCTCCCTGAGAGATAGGGGCAAAGGACACTGGAGCCCAATGGGAGGTTAATTGGGGGACAGAAGGGACATTGGAGCTGGGGGTAGGGGTAGGGAATCAGAGCTGGGGTCACTGAGGGCAGCGAGGCTGTGGTTACCAAGGGAGGAGGAGGGGGCAGTGACAGCCATCAGGACAAAGCATGGCAGGGCCGTTAGAGGGAACAGTGAAAGCTCACCTGAGGGGCTTCCTGAGGCCCCGCCATCTCTCTGGGCTCCACGATGTAGGTGAAGTTCCCATCAGAGAAGACCCCACTGCAGAGAGAGAGGAGCAGCTCCCCACCATCCCCAGGCCCAGGGCTGAAGGCTTTACCAGGCTGCCCAGCCCCTCCCCATACTCACTGCAGCCCCTGGCAGGTGGAAAGAGCAGCAAAGGAATGGGGGTTCCCTCGGAGCTTCCCCTGGTAATAGCAGTGGTCTCCAGCCCCCTGGAGGAGCAGCAGAATGTAAGCGGACATGCCCCCTGCCCTGGCATGAAATCCTGGGTACACCTGAACTGCTACAGCCTGGCTCTACTTGGTTGCGCTCCTAATTTGCTGGTTGGCCCTGGTCAATTTCCTAGCCCTCTTCGAGCGCCCTTCACCTCACCTACAAAGTGAGGAAGTTGGACGACATCAGGAGTCCTTAACCATTTGTTGTGGCTGATGCAGGGACCCTGAACTCCTTTGTGAAAATAACTAGCACTCACATAGCACCTACTATGTGCCACTCACTGTTCTAAGCACTTACCATGGATTCTCACTCAATTCGATGAAGGCTATGGACTTACCCCCAACACACACACACAATTTCACACATAGTGTGTTCACAGATGCCACTGCCTCCGTGGACCACTCCTGGACACGTGGTCTGTGTCTGAGGAACTGTGAGCAGCATGTGTCCTCCTGGCCCAGCTCATGGGTCAGAGGGGACCAGCACCCCTCCCCCTGCTTCCTGCAGAATTACTTGTGCTCCAGTTACTGAGCAGGCTGGGGGGGGGGAGGGGGAGGCTATTTATAGATACTCATTCATCTTGGCTGGGACCCTGGGCCTCCAGGGCTGGGACCCTGGTATCCCAGGCAGCCAGGAATTCCCAGGGCCTTGGTGCTGAGCAAAAGGACATTTCTCCAACTTTCCCCTCCCAGAATGTCTGGGCATGGAGCAGTGAGGGTGCTTGAATGCCTCCATGCGAGCAGAGAGGCTGGCTGGGGTCAGGCCTCTGGAGCTGGGCAAGGGGAGCTCAGGACTCCATACACCCTTTGACATGCCACCTGACTCCGATGCTCAAAACCTCGAAGGTGGGGAGAGATGGAGGGTCCTGAGGGGCCAGGCCCACCCCAAGTGTAAAATACACCCCAGACTCCATATCTAATGGCCTTCTTCCTTTCATTCCACCTGCCCTGTCCCCTTCCAAAGGCACTCACGGTGCTATGCTGGGTTGTCCCCTCCCGGCTGAAATGGCGCTCCACGTATTTGGAGGAGAGAAGGTGACTGGAACAGAGTGGGCAGGAGGAAGGACAGGTCACTGGTGGTACTGGGTTAGACTTGGGTTCCGCCCCCGCTCAGGTCCAGATCCCCTGCCCTGGCCCAGCACCCACCTAACCCCCGCCCCACCAGCGAGCCAAGTCCCGGCTATGCCTTGCCCGCCCGCCTGTAGCTTTTCCTCCCAGGCTCGAGGCCACACTCACTGGTTCAGCTCCAGGTCCAGGGTGAAGTTGGAGTCGAAGGCTGGGATGACGAAACTCACCTGGGCCAGGTGGACAGGCTGAGGGTGGGGAGAGGGCAGAGGGAGGGTCAACCTGGGGAGGCCTGAAGGTGGGAATTAGGGAATCGGGGGAACCCCAGAACAGGGAGTAGCCCTGGGGAGGGCAGGGGAGGGCCTAGTCGAGCAGCTATGGGACCATTGATTTTGGGGGGAGATGCTTTGCATAAGACCCTGTTCCTTTCCTGGGGCTAGGGGCAGGAGTGAACACACCTGGGCACAGCCCACTCTGCCCTCTGGGTCAGGGCATGGTGAGCAGCGTAGGGGGCAGGTGCCAGCCCACCCTCTCTGGGGTCAGTCTCTGGGGGCAGCCAGGATGGAGAGGGGCTGCTTGGCCTGCTCACTGCCTCAGGGAGGCCCTTAGGTGGAAAAAGAAGGCCCTCAGAAGTATTATGGGAAAGGAGCAAACAGGAGATGGGGTGCAGGGTGACCCTGGGAACCTGCTGAATCAGGCGCCTTCCCTCCCGTCTCCCTACTCTGGCCCCAGCCTCAATCTAAGGAGGAGACCTCGGACTCTGCAGACGGGGCGGAGTGGGCCGGAGTTGATTGTGGGGCCCCTGGAAACTGGACGATGGGCAGATGCCATCCTGTCAGGACAAAGGAACTTGGCTCCTTACTCCCAAGTCCAAAGCGGCTCATCTTTAATATTTCAATTCCATGGTTAATTTTTAAACACGGAAGTTTTCCTGATAAATTTTTCAGAGGGGGCCTTTGCAGTGGGGCTGGGAGGCTCCAGGTTGTCATGACAACGCACCAGGCCTGAGCAAGCTACTGTGGGGGGTGGGGACTCCAGACTTGAAGCTAGTGTGCCTGGAGGGAAAGCCACCCCAAGAGAAGAGGCAGGAGAGTTGGGGTTGAGGGGGAGTTGGCATCTCCAGCTCCCATGTCCCCACTCCAAGCCTCAGGTCCTACAAAGATCACGAAGTATGGGGGAGGCCGCCTGGGGGGAGCTGTAGCCTTCTTCTCACCCCTGTCCACGTAAGGAGACTGAAATCCAGGCCCCCAGATGAGGGTCCCACCACTGGGCCATGCAGATGTGAGGAATTTGTGCCTTTCTTTTGGGAGGAGCAGGCTGCAGGACGGAAGGGAGCCCCAATGTCATGAAATCCCATAGTCGCGTGCTATGTGGCTCCCCCATCAACCACCTGGATTTCTACTGAGCAGTTATGTGCCTGGCCCTGTTCTAAATGCTTTACAAGTATTATCATATTTGATCTTCCCAACATCCCAATGGGATAGATGCTACTGGTATCCTTATCTGACAGATGGGAAACTGAGGCACAGAGATGCTAACTAACTTGCCCAAGGTCACACATCTAACAAGTGGTGGAGCTGGGATTCAAGCCTAGCAAATCAGCTTCCAGGCCTTCTTACCCCAAAGGTGAGGAAAGACGGAAATGGCCCAGTGTTCACGAGAGGCCCTGGGAGAGGGGGTGAGGTGGGGGCAAAGGGCCAGAGCCTGGGTTGGCAGCCCTCTGAGCCAGAAGGACACTGACTCACCCCATCCCAGGCTGACTGAGGCTCCAAGCTCTGCCCTGTGCCCCTAGAGCATCGATCAGACTTGAAATCGAAAGTCAAGGGCAAGTAGTGACTGCTTCCCTCTCCTCCCCATTGACCTGGACCACCTCTGCTCTGCCCCTGCCCCTGCCCCTGCCCCTGTGGGGAAGAGGAGGGAGACCAGATAGCTGGGCAGCTTTGTCTGGCCAGGCCCAAATAGGGGCGAGGGGACACGGGGTTATCCCGTCTGAAGGATCAGAAAGATCAGGCAAACCCACCTCTGTCCCCAGAATCTCTGTACCCCAGGCACCTGGGGAGGATGCTCCTGCTGGCCCCAGAGTCCTAAGACTCCCCAAGCAAGCTTTATACCCATGTTCTATCAAAGCCAAACTGCTCCTGGCCTGGCCTGCCTCCTGCCCCTGGCCTGCCCCTGATTTCTCCCATTATCCCTCGGGAGCCCCTCCTGTCCCCTGTCACCTTCCCTCCTCTGTGCCTAGCTCATCACAGCTCGTGACCAGCGGCCGGGCCTCGACCCTGTGCCCCGCTCTTGCTCCCCTGCTCCGCGGCCATCCGACTCTCACATGCTGCGGCTCATTTGATCTCAACCTGCCCAGGATGTCTGGTGCTCATTTTACAAATGCCAGGCTGAGACTCAGGGAAAGACACTTGGAGGTGACTGGCCCAGGGCCACGCTGGGGAGGTGCAGGGTCAAGTCTCACTCTTAGGCTAGAGTTCGTGTCTACCATGGCAGCTACGAACACCTGGCTGGAGTGACCATGCCCTCCCTAAAGCTTCCTTGTCACCAGGGCATCCGGCCATCTGACACTTGCTTAGACCTGACCAGATACAGGATGCAGAGGGAAGGAGGCAAAGATCCTGCTGAAGCCCCAAAACAACAAATACGGAGGCCAGGCCTCCACCCCAGACCTAAGGAATCAGTCTTGGGGAGGGGAGACAAAAGATCTCTAGGGTTCCCAAATGCCCTAGAAAATCTGAACATCCAGGCACTGTCCCCAAGATAGCCACCCTGAATCCTTCCTTCTGAACCTTCATCCTGCCATGACCTCTTCCTTACCCTCTTCTGCAAGCCTGCACCCAGCGACCCACAGAGGTGTGGCCCCTCTCTACTCCTGGGCCTAACAGTTCCTCACATCTTGATTCAGCTTTTCACATGGTGACCATTAGTCCCCTGGAGCTCAGGCTACACCCAACTTTTTCCCTGCCAGGGCTCAACACTCATGTTGAATGAAAAGGCATCAGAAGGCCTGAGTGAGCTGACTCTCTGAGCCTCAGTTTCCCCATCGGTGAAATAGGGTTGTTGTGAGGATTAAAAGAAAGCCCTTATTGTGTGATTATCATTAGGATTCGTAATAATAATAAATGAAAAGGAGGAAGTGTAAATGGTCCGGCTGAACAGGGCTTTGAGGAACTGGGTAAACTGCATGAGCTGGATGGTGGCAGATGGGGATGAGCCAGAGAAGCGGGGGCCCCACCTTGGAGACATCCTCTCCCCCAGCAGCAACTCCCCCCAAAGCCCCCAATATGCAATGAGGCTCCACATATCATTAGGGCAGTGTGAGTCCCAGATTGTGAGAAGAATTGGATGAATTTCTGATAACCGGGTTTGACCTAAATTTTTGAGGACAAAATCACTTCCTTACAGGGTCATTAGTCCCTCTGAAGACAGACTCTGGGCAGCTGGGTCCCTCTAGGCAGCCAGCAGGGGTGCTTAGGGAGGTCAAGCCCACAGGCCAGAGTCTGGGTGGGGAGGAAAGGCCTCTGCTCACGTTGCCCCCCTGAATCCCACCCAGGGCCTGATGGGTAACCCCCAAATGCCCCGGTTCCTGTTTCTGATCTGACACCTGGCCCTCGTGCCAGCACCTGGCCCCACACTCAGGAGGGAGGGGAGGCCTCACAGATGTTGAACATCTGCTCTTGCTGATCCGAGGCAGGACACCTGTATACACATCATCTCCTCTGATTCTCTGATCTTCCCAGCAGCTGGGCAAAGTGACTATTATCCCCATTTTATGGATGGGGAAGCTGGGGCTCAGAAGGCACCAGCAGCTTGCCCAGGCCATGCAGTCAGACTCACTGAGGCTGTCCTGCTCCAAATGTGCAGCCTTTCAGATAGAAGTTTTTTAGCCTCCCATGTGAACTCTTCCTCTGACCAACCTCGTGGCAGGGCTCAGTTCACAGCTCTGCAGGAGCAAGCTGAGCCCAGCACAAACCCCTCCCAGGACACTCTCCTGCCTCCGATCTCAGGAGAGCGCCGCAACCTTGGCTGCAGAGGCCACAGTGTGGCCTTGGCCCTAGTGGGGTACTAGGGCTCCCAGCACAGACCCTGTGGCTCCCTGCCCCTGACTGCCATCTTGCAAGAACTGGTGACTGAGCCTTGCCCAATTGTCCCCCACCCCTCTGCGGGAAGAAAACACAAGCACAGTAGCATATGTCCTCAGCTGAGGGCTTCCAGGGTGGCATTTCCAGTAAATGCTGGTCTAGGTGGGTCTCACAGGAACTCACCCGGTGACTGAGGTCCCCTCCCCCAGCTGGCTCAGCTGAGGGTCTGTCTCCTGGGCCTGGGACCCTACACCCAAACTGCCCAGCTTTCTTACCCACATCCTGCCCTCTCCTTGGCTCTGAAAGAGTCTGGGTTTCCCAGGGGCAGACACAGCCCACACAGCAGCTTTGTGTGGATTAGAAGAAGGGTCCCCTCGGAACGCATGCACCCTCATGAGCTCACCGATTTCACTCAGCCCACTTCCCAGGCACCCTTGTGCTCTGAACAACCAGCCCACTGGTACACTGTGGCCCTGCTTGTCCTCCTGCCTCACCCCTCAGCTGCAGGCTCCCTGTGACCACAGGTTTCTGCACTTCGAGAAGCTCCCTGCACCTCAGGGCCTCAGGCCCCACCTGCTTCCAAACTGGACAGAAGTGAGGTGTTGAGAGCAGTGGCAAAGGAGCACCCCACTCTTTCTCCCTACCTGGCCCTATGCTTTCTCTCCCCTCTGACCTCTGACCCCAACCATAGCATTATTCCTTCATCCTATCTGGACATCCCCTAAAGCACCAGACAGGAGTCCTGGCAGTCAGGCCCAGCAGTCACCTCCCAGCCAACACAGCCTTGGGGTGCACAGTTCACAGGTAGAGGGACACCAGAGAAGAGAGTCAGACTAATGCCACACCTAGCCAGGACTTCCCATCCCTGGCCCTGGGACCATCCCTACTGCCCATCTACCACCTCCCAGGGAGCCTGGGTAGGTGCTGAAGGCAGCCTCCACCTCTTTCCCTCCCACCCTCCACCTCCCACTCCCCCACCGT